GACGTTTTTTGACGAAAATACCCAGACTAATGGTTGTGAATAATGTTAAATATGCGAAACATCTGGTACTGCGACGGAGAGGAATTTGTCCAGCAGCGAAATTTTACAAGCTATTGAAGAATAAGAAGATAAATAATAATCAATAGTTTTTACCTATGATAAATAGAAATAGAGTAAAACTTTGTAAAATTTTCTTACGTGGTAGAGCCATGCTGCAGTTATATTAGTAGTATAGTTGCAGCACGAATGGATCGGCTCGACCGAGGAAGGACCACGCTCTCACAGAATACCGGCGTAAAATAGCAGGTTAACACTGCTGTGTTTCGTATGGTGATTGAAGAGAACTGGAGAACCTTTTTACTAAAGAAGAGGCATTCCATCTTAATCCGTACGGGTGACAACGTGTCTGCATTTTGATTCGTAATCGAGGATAGATGTAGATGTCTATGGGCCACAGCAACCACTTACCATCAGGTGGACTGTGTGCTCGTTTATCACCCTTACCCTATAAAAAAACGGAAGTGACACGTTTGTCACTCGTTAGCTCGTTAGCTAACAGTCTACCTGATGATAAGTGTCTTCTGGCTGAACAAAGAAAGCTACAGATGCATCTCTAAAGACTAAGATGGAATGTCTAGTTACTTCTAAAAAGCCTATACTGGATCACCCATACCTCCAAAACGGAACACAGTGTTACACGCAGTACTATCTAGTGGCAGAAAAATGTGACGGTACCTAACGGTCTCTTAGGTGGAGTAGGAGTCCAAAAAAAATCCAAAAGTATAAACACATGCATATATCCCTCTCGGTGTTTGTATTCATAATGTTGGTTATCTATAGGGCCCAACATTGCACTATGAACTGGACTGTGTGCTCATATGGTACCACTCAGTTTTATAAAAATACCGCATTGTGAAGTTATGATAGTCGGGCTTGTCCCAAGTAGCTCTGAATTGAGCCGACACCTCTAGGTCCAGATCCAAAACCAGATCCATAAAACACAATTTTGGTAAAATAACAAACGTTGGCTCGCAAGATTCAAACTTAACTAAACCCCACGCTTAACTGATCGCAGGGAGGAAATGCACTTGTCATGATTCATAATTGGTAGTATGATAAATTTTTCTAACAGTTTTTATTCTAACAGATTCTAACAATTTATACATGGTAGAGCCACGCTGCAACTATGTTATGGTTGTGCCAGTAGTGGATTGGCCCGAACCAGGGTAGGTCCACGCTCTTAGAGAATACCAGAGTAAAATAGCAGCCTAATGCTGCTATTTTTCATATGGTGGCTGTAAAGAACCTGAAATACTTTGTACTGAAAATGATGTATTCCATCCATTAGAGGTGATAACGTACATGCATTTAGATTCTTAATTGAGGATAAATGCACGTATCTAAGGGGTTAAGTCAAATACTTATCATCAAGTGAACTGCGTCCTCATTTGTTACCCCTATTCTATAAAAAATGGGGTGAAATTCTACAGGTTTTTTTAATAATAATATTTAATAAAAAACAAGAGAGAGTTAGACTTGAAGTGCACGTGCCAGTTATACTGCTACTACTAGTGATTTAAGCTGTTATTAGTTACACAATTACACAAACAGTCTATATTTATACGTAAAACTTAGTTTTGTTGTTTGTCCCGTATGCGTTCCTATACCATTCATCCGACCACAAAGAAACTGGTGAGTTGTTGCGTAACTTTTGTTATTTGCTTGTTTTGTTTTTGCACACATTTGTTTGTTCCTCGTTTTCTATGCCTGTCGTATCATTCATCCGATTAATATGTATCTATATATACTTATTATATTTTCATTCCGTTCCCAGGAAAGGGATATTTCGATTTTCCTCTATCAAATGTAACCATTATATTTGCATTATTTAACCGACTTAAACGAGAAAAGAAACCGTAAAGGAGATGAACTTGGTTCTGTATAAGGTTGGGCCTGGCGTGAACAAAGTTAATATATATATATATATATATATATATATATATATATTATATATATATATATATATATATATATATATATATATATATTATTTTGAAAATGTTAACATTTGCTACTTATGTCAAAAATCATATTTTCGGGATTTTGTTTTTATTTTATATTTTATGATGTGTTATGTAGTAAAATCAATCATTCTTGCGATAAGATGTTTAAATAAATTAAAAAGGACACAAAAATGCAGTTTTGTAGTTATTATTAAATAAAGTAAAATAAAATACAACCTTTCTCAATTGTTTAATTATTTTCTGCAATTATTAATAAAATGTCATCTAGAAAAACAGCCGGAGGCTGTACATTGTCCGTTCTTTTACTCTCATAACCCAAGTATATCATTATTGTCATTATGTGAAGTATGTGGGCGCAACTGGGTGCAACAACCTACTGTTCTGTAATCCGACAGAAAAGCCAAGGGTCAAGTTAACTAAATCCACAAAAGTAAAAACACGAAATCTATACACAGCCTGAACGCCAAATGCGCATGACAAGTAAAAACTCGAAGTTACCAAGTAAAGTCGCCTTCGAAACAGGCAATGAGTCAATTCAATCGTATCAGAAAATATTCAAATGTTTTTTTTTTTAGTTTATTAACATTCAATCGTACCTATTCAATCGTTTTTCTAAATAGATTTCCTTTATTTAACATTAATCTCTACAGATTCGCCATTCCATTCGCCATCGACATTCGCCTCAATATTTCTAGATTATGATTAATTTCGATAACAACCTATTTTTTTGGAGTTTATGGCCTGGTATCTAGACCTTTAGGCCGACGATAACAAACTACATTGTCTATTGCCATAGACAAAATACAGAAAAATATATAAAAACGTTTCGTTTCTGCTATAGAAAAAGCATTAGCCATGTGCCTAGAAACCCTACCCTCAGAAATAAATGGACAAATGCTATGAGAAGAGCACATCCTTTAAGACCAAACACGGTAGCATATTCTTGTTTGTGATCATTTCGATGTAAGTATTCAAATAATAATAATCTTCACATGATAGCTCTTGGTAATTGGTAGTAAATGCTTACTATTAGGCATGTTGGTACCTACTCGAGTCGCAGTGTTTAAGTAACTTTTTCATTCATTGAAGCTTTCTACGCTTAATGATCATTATAATTTTAAGAAGAAAGAATACCTAATACCTACATATTTAACTAAAACTACTTCAGTGTAAATAAACATCCAAACTTGGGTAAAGTACTTACCTATGTAATGTAGATAAGTCAATGACCTGTCGTGAGTTCGTAAGTTTAGATACCTACCTATGTTTGCAGCAAATTTTAAAATGTTTATAATGCATTAATATAAAGGTTAAAATATGGAATATGTTAACAAACGTTTTTATATTTTTACGAGCAAAAATTCGAGCAAAAACTAAACACATCGCAGAGCTGTTCAACCTGCATACTTTGCGGGCCGCAAATGATGGAAGAAGTTTGATTATGAAGTGGAGCACGTAAATTTTTTTTCATGTTGTCCTATTTTTATGTATTACATAGTTGGTACATATTTTAAATATTGATGGAATACAAATTACGAGGTTCCTTATTTTTTTATAGATTTTAAATAAGTTTGTATTTTGTTCTAGGTCGAAAACGATATGGAAAACTACGTGAAGTACAAACTAGTTGGTGGTCCCCTCAAACTTAAAAAAGATGGAGTATACAGAAAAACCACAAAGATGTTTACTATCAAAACTAAATGCCAAATCTAGGTCAGAAACAGATGCACATGCGATTGCCACTACTTCACAAGAAATTGAGCATAGATATGTTGTCGATCCTGTTACTACTCTAGATGATAATATTGACATTGATCCCTTGCCCGAAGAATATATAACTACGCGTTTAATCATAATAATAATGCGACCCTTTTTCTATTAATATTGAAAACATCTGATTTTTAGATAAAATCATATTTTTATACACCGAAGGTATATTTGTAGTAAATTTCTTTATATACAACAGGATTTTTTAACCATAAAAACCACAAAAAGGTCAGGGTACACTTAAGAAGAATAAGAAAACAAAACTAGTTAGAGGCAGATAGTAAGTAAGTAGGTAAGGAATGTTTACGTATTTTTGTTATACTTATTCTTATCATTAGCAAATGAAGCCCAGAAGTATTAATGTAATAATGGGTACCTAGGTTATAAAATATTATCTTATGCGTATTTCAGCCGCGACAAAATCTTTGTTTCTTAGAAAATATTCCGCCACCATCATGTCACGGAAGGTTGTCAGATTGGCGCTTTTGAAACCCTTCTTTCATCATTAAATACTTAAAAACACCAGAGCGCACGACGGCAAACAACTCACCCGCGAAATATTACTACAAACATTGATTTATATATTAATTCAATGACTACAAACGTATGATCGGCGCGCTGGAACGGTATGGCGGCACGGCCGCATGGAATCTATGACGTCACGCGTTACTCGCGGGCACGGGGGAAATTTTAAAAATGTACGTAAACTTTCCACGCTTATAACTTCGGTAATAGTGCACTGATCGATGTGAAATAAAAACTAGAATTATGTGTTTGGTCTAGACCTTTTACCTACGTACTTAAAAGTTTAATATTGTAACCTTGTTATCTTCTCCATTGTCTCATATATTACAGAAATTAAAACCGAACCAATCTTTTAATTACATGCATATTTTTGTATAACTGTTATGAACGATATCGTGCACCCAAACTAATACATCTACTTTTATGGCGCCATCAATAGAGTATCGATCAAATTAGTTACAGAAATCGTAATAATAAGACAATATTATTACTATTTCTGTAGTTACTACACTTAAAGTTCAAAATAATTTTCTAATATTTTGTCGAAATAAATAAAATAAAACGATAAACCTGGCAACTATGGTAAATGTGTTACTACGAAGCAATTCATTGACACCTATGTTCAGCAGTGGACTTCTATATGTGGTAACGGAAGATTGTAACACAAAATGTAGTCTTACTTACCTCATTTCCAACTCGTTAGTGTATCCATTCGATACGAAAGTGTCGTCGTAGTCAGGCAGCGAATACTTCGTCCTCCTCATCATCAGCAGCTTCGGCATCAGCTGTAGGAATAGCTTCTTCATCCATGGAGACATGGTGTGCGTTGAGGGTGACCTGATAGAGACGTAGGTTTTTATCACCCTATATAACTTATACCTCTATTAACAATTATAGAAAATAGATGGATTATCTTAGTTTTAACAATCGACTGGTTCGGTGGTCTAGTGGTAGGAAACGCGACTAATGATCACAAGATCTCGGGTTCGAATCCTGGGTTGGGCGAAAAAAATCTACTGAGTATTTTTTTCAGTAAATTCTCAGTAACTGAACTTGCAAAGCATGTAAAGCCGTTGGCCTCAATATTGTTGAAAGTTAATAAAGTAACTATGGATTTAAAACCTAATTTACTTGAGAATGAACTTTAAAGGAAAATGCTGTGATACTATAACACGCGGGCAAAAGGTTTGACAATAGCGTTATTACACCACAAAGTGCTTCTGGAGCTTATATTTGCCTGGAAATTGATAAGCGAATTTCATATACTCTTCCCAAAAAGAGAACAATTCAGTAACATCATGTAAAAAATTTAATAAAATTTTGTAATCAGATAATGTTTTACGTGCCAAGTTTATAATTCCTGAAAACACTACCATTTTATTTCTTCCAACGAGTAAAGCTTGGTCATCCAGGTACCACGTGTCTTATAACTTTTAGTTAATCTCAAAACTTTCATCTCTATTTGAGTATAAATAAGACAGTTTACAATAAGCTGTTCATCCCAGTTACAAATCACGAGAAAACGTACGAAATTCTCTTACTTTGGGAATCAAAAAAACTATAGTTAGAGGTTTATAGTATATATAGTACTAGTTGTAGACACCGATGTTCTGAACTGAATACTATCTACTGACATTGTATGCCCATTCAGCCAATGCATCACGTAGTGCAACAAAAAAAATTATGTAGATTTTAATCTTGTCTGATTTTCGTTTTGCTCGATGACGCGTTTGAACTTGCTCGAATGTAATTAAAAACTACGAGCAAGCTTTTAAGCGAACAGAAGATTTTTTTTTATAGAAGAGGGGGCAAACGAGCATGCGGCTCACCTGATGTTAAGTGACTACCGCCGCCCATGATCAACCGCAACACCAGGGGAATTGCAGGTGCGTTGCTGGCCCTTTAGAAAGGAGTACGCTCTTTTCTTGAAGGTCCCCAGGTCGTATCGGTCCGGAAAAATCGCTGGTGGTAAACTATTCCACAGAGAGGTTGTACGCGGAAGAAAACTCCTCTTGAAACGTACAGTGGTGGACCGCCAAGCATTCAGATGGTGTGGATGGTATCGGGACGTTTGCCGCGTAGTGCATTCATGAAATTTGGCGGCTGGGATTAATCCGAACAATTCCTCAGAGCACTCTCCATGGTATATGCGAAAGAAAATGCAAAGAGATGCACCATCTCTTCGCAGTGCCAGTGAATCGAGCCGATCGGAAAGCACTCGGTCGTCGACTTACTACGTCGAAATACTGTCCCGCACTGCTGAGCACGCCAAGCTTTTTAGAGGCCAATTTGGCCTTCTCTTCCAAGTGACCACGAAACTGCACGTCACTCGATATGTCGACGCCGAAGATTCCGATACTGGGTTCTTTTTAGCGGTTAACGCGCAAACTTGCGACTTCTGGGAATGAACTGGACTAGATTTAGTCGCCCCCAATCCGAGACTCTGTGCAGTAAAGACTCGACTTCAGACACAAGTTTGTCCCGGCACCCGGAGACGTTTTCCCGAGAAATAATGGCTCGGCCGGTGTAAAGAGCATCACCAGTGCTGTCATCTGCATAGCAATTAATGTTACGGGTTTGCAACATATCATTGATATGCAGAAGAAACAGCGTTGGCGATAGCACGCGGCCTTGTGGAACACCAGCATTAATTAGGCTTGCAATCGGAGCTTGCACCGTCTACTACGAACTTGATGCCCCGATCTGCAAGAAAGCTGGTGATCCAATCGCACAATTTCTCGGGAAGCCCATAAGAAGGGAGCTTCGAAAGAAGCGCTTTGTGCCAAACCCGATCGAAGGCCTTCGCAATGTCCAAACTAACGGCCAATGCCTCCCCCTTGGACTCTACTGCCTCCACCCATCTGTGAGTTAGGTAGAACAGAAGATCACTAGCTGACCGACCACGGCGAAAACCGTATTAGCGGTCACTAATTAGCTGGTGATCCTCAAGGTACCTCATGAGCTGGCAGTTTACCATGGACTCCACTGTTTTGGAGAACAAGGACGTGATCGCGATAGGCCGGTAGTTGGACGGGTCTGAGCGGTCGTCTTTTTTAGGGATCGGGTGGACGAAAGCCGTCTTCCATGATTTTGGGACTACGCCTAGAGAGTAGGAGTACCGGAAAAGACGCGTTAAAACCGGTGCCAACTCCGGAGCACACGTCCTCAGCACAATTGGGGGGATTCCGTCAGGCCCACTCGACTTGTGGATGTCCAGGAAGAGGAGTGCTTTGCGAACCGAGCGCTGTGTGAACTGCACTTCCGGCATGGAGCACTCACACCGCGGGATGGTCGGCGGCGTACACCCCCCGTCATCGAGAGTCGAGTTGGACGCAAAGAAAGAGCCTAGAAGATCGGCTTTCTCCTTTGCGGTATGGGCCAGTGAGTCGTCCTCCCTGTGCAGAGATGGAAAAGATGGCTGACAGAAATTCCCCTGGATAGCCTTGGCGAGAGACCAGAATGCACGGGTTCCAGAAGGAAGGCGAACTACTCGCCAATTCTGCCTATGTGCTCTGACTTTGCCTTGGCAATGACTCTTTTGAAGGACCTAGAGGCGGAATTATACTTCTTTTTTAGAGCGCTGGTGTTTACATCCCGGAACGCTGATGCGTCAGCCCAGGCTTGGTAGCACTCCTGCTTATAGCATGATGCTATTTTACAGGAGCGACCAAACCATGGCTGAGATTTGCCTCCAATGGGCACCACAGAGGAAGGAATAAAAAGTTCCATACCCTGAAGTACCACATCAGTGACAGAATCCGCAACAACGTTGGGATCGTCCGGCGAGAAGCAAACCCACCCCCAAGGGTAGGATGCAAAGAAAGACCGCATCCCATCCCAATCGGCTGACCTATAGTGCCAAACACGGCGGCAGCCTGCAGAATGCAACTGCGATTTCAGCGTGAGTGGCACCACACTCCGGACAAGACAATGGTCCGAGGAGCCTAAAGGGGCGTCGACGGAAATCTGATATCCGTCCGGGTGAGAGGTCAGCACAAGGTCCAACAGGGAAGGTGCATGATCCTCCACATCTGGAATCCGCATAGGCGAAGTAACCAGTTGTGTCAGACCATATGCCAAGGCAAAATCATGAACAGATCTCCCCGCATGATCGGTTAAACGTGAACCAAGCCATTCGGCGTGATGGGCGTTAAAGTCGCCGAGGATCACGATCTCTGCGGAGGGGATCTGCTGTAGCAACGAATCTGTAGCCATTTGGACGTGGTCGAAGAGTCGGTCTGTTTCGGCATTACCGCTATGGGACCTATAGAGGCACCCGTAGACGCGCTGATGGTCGTCGCTGTCTACGCGTAGCCAAAGGATGGACAGGTCCGAACCTTCAAGTCTGCCGAGGCGTCGAGAACAGATGTCCTATATATCCATGTCCAGATATCCACAAATTCTAATCAGACAAGCGTTAACATTAACCCCTCTTCGTATCCCTTACTTTTGTACGAAATACATAATAGAATATATAAGTAAAGTTATTATTTACACAGCCATTACAGTCTATAACAATAAAAATTATATTATAATAAACATCATTCAAATAATTATACGAGTTCCGTGAGTGGCCCAATGACGAATTCTGCAAGGAACAAGTTTGTTTGGTCTAAAAATAATTGTTCCGGGTATGGATGTTTGTCCCTATGCAATTTACGTTTGTATACTGCCTCTGTAATACAGGAGAAAATCCTATTATGGAAGTAAAAAATATTTATAATACCGTAACTGATCCCAGCATAAGAGATGGAGGGAAATTCAATTATAAATTGAATAAATAAGCTACACGGCCTTAACAGTCTAATGAAAAATTATAACATATCAAACAAAATAAAACACCGAATAAAAACGTAAGTAAATAATATACGAGCGTTGAATATTTCATTATCCATTGTAAATTTTGTAATACGTAGGGATTTCGTATTATCAGCGCATCCCACTACCGAGTAAATCTCAATATCCCGAGCAACTTAATCATTTTAACACCAGACCAAACGTTATGAATCTAACAAAATAATAAAACATAATTTTTATAACACTTTTTATAATTTATGCTACCAAAAATAATGTAATGTCCTACTGGTTTGGAGGTAAGAGAATTCATATTTTTAAATTTAAGTATTAACAAATAGGACATTTATTATAGGTATGTATTTATTATACGATTCCATTTCCGTCTAGGATTTCGTCTGTACTATTTGTACCACCAAACAGCAGTGCGTGCATATTGGTGGTAATGGTAAAACACCCCTAATATTTTTTGTTCGCACCTGATGGTAAGTAATTACTGCCGCCCATGAACAAATGCAACACCAAAGAAATTGCAGATGTGTTGCCGGGCTTTTAAAAAGGAGCAGACTCTTTTCTTGACGGTCCCTAAGTCGTATCGGTCTAGAAAATCTCTAGTGGTAGTCGATTCCACAAGGAAGTTAGGAGGCGAGTATAAAACTTCTTTGAAATCGTACAGTGGTGGACCGCCAGTCTTCCAGATGGTATGGATGGTATCGCGGGTTTTGTCGCCATGTGCATGGTGAAATTGTGGGGCTGGAATTAGTCCGAAAAATTCCTCAAAGCACTCTCAGTGGTAAATGCGATAAAATACACAAAGCGATGCAACACCTCTTCGCGGTGTCAGTAAGTCAAGCCAATCGGAAAGAGATCGGTCGCCGACGATTTGAACGGGTCTGCGCTGGATGCGATTAAATAGAAGGAGCTGGCACTGGGGATCCCCAGCCCGGAGATGGGAACAGTATTCCAAGTGCAGCCGAACCTGCGCCTTGTAAAGAGCGGAACAGTATTTCATGCCGGCGGTGTGCCGGCATGAAATACTGTCC